CCCCAAAACCCCAAAACCCCAAAACCCCAAAACCCCGATATTTTTATAGTTTATTGAGAGTTATTTATCAAAGTAATTACTGATCAAGCCCTTCAGAATATCTGCTCCTTTCTTTCCCGTAGTCAAAAAGTCAGGCAGGTCATACTTTTTAGACAAATTGGCATTCTCTAGTAAAGATTTCTTGGATTTCCCAAGGACTAAAGGAGGACAATGGTCTGGTGGAGGAGGGGATTTTATGTCAAAATCAGAGAATTCAAGTCGCTTTCCTTCGATTGGGTCGGGGTTTCGAACTTTATGAGCCTCCCCTTTGTGTGCTTTTGGAGTATTCTTCGACTCGTTCACAGATTCAGTCTCAAGGACAGCAGTGCTATTATGCTTACTCTGTACTGGACCTGAAGAAAACTCACTTCTTTGAATATTCCGATAGTTTCTAACATCATGGAAGTTTAGAGTAGCGTATTTTCCAGTGCCCAGAGGAGGTTCAGGAGGTAGCTCGCTCTCGATTACAGAGTTCTTCTTTGCCACAAATTTCTTCTTATTTCAACCTCTCTAAAGCGGATACATAATATCCTGAACTATGCAAGCTTTCATAAGGTTCTACACCTTTTCTTGAAGTGGAGTTGAATGCAGTCTTATACCTTTTGTGGGTCTTCAGCTTCATATGTGTCTGTGGCGACTTCTTCATTAAGGCCAATCCTTTTGCATTATTAGCTGTAAATATAGCTGTAAAGATTACCTGAAGAAGTTGAATTGTTCACCTTGGGCTCATTCTTATTATCATATGTTGTAAACACTTTGTATTCATATGTCTTTACCTCCAGATCTTTGTTAATCATTCTTGAAGGAGCCTCACTATTTGACTTAATAGCTACCTCCATGTGGTTAGGCTGCCTGTTAAGGATAGTCTCTAGTGCCTTCTGAGCCCGAATGGATTGTGTATTCTTAATTCTGTGCTGCCAAGGATCTCTTGCGAAGACAGTCTGAAAGTTCTCCATAGCAGTTTTATTTGCAGGTGATTTCCTTACGATCTCGATATCTCCCAGTGCTTCAAGTCCATCAACATAGGGTTCTGGTCGTATTGAAAGGGCTTTCTTAGATTTCCTCAAATCCTTATATCTCCTACTACCCGAATAATTAGTTGAGTGCATAAAGTCTTTGTCACCTACAACTGATATTTTTGACTTACTTTTCCATTTTTCTGGAGAAAAGGGTCTCCACTTAGGATTATTGAGTAGTTTAGTATCAAGAGGAGTGAGCTCAAAGAGGTTTGTTTTGTTCCCAGACACTCTGAACTTCATCTGACCCTTATGCATCTCTTTGAGTCTCTCCCGAATCCTTGGTCCTTCCGTCCCTGGCTGTGAATATACACCATTGTTGAGGCTTTTTATCTAAATTATTTTTTCTTATCAGCAGAGCTAGTTTTACTTACATCTGAGAACATTGCTGAACGGTTTTTAGAGGGATTGAATCCGCTATTTAGGTCAGTATCCCTAAAGGTATGATGTGCAGGGTTATTTCAGAGGAATCGCTCCTTTGAAGAACTTGTTGTTAAAATTCACACTATGGGCAGCATCCATTGTCCATTCCTCTCTCCGTTGATTAGCCCTCATGGCCATTCGCATAGTTTGATTCTTCTTTCTTTTCTCCTTCAGCATTATTCGGGTCTTCTGGTCTGCAGTCATTGGAGAGGATGCTGGGCTTGTCGGCTGTCGATAAAGGTTATACATTTTTATTCAATTATATTTCTCAAGAAAGGGGTTTTGGGGTTTTGGGGTTTTGGGGATTGGGG